CAAAGGTGATTGGACCAAATAGACTTATCCAATCTATTCCCAGTACAATGTCCCTGCCATACAATTTCAATATTCTTAGATGGTATTGGAATTCCTAGTTTTTCACCTTCTAAGTTGAGGGTGAGTAAAGGGCCCTACTCTCTAATTTCTTACGATTTGCCATCCTGACTGTCAATGTTTTAGTTCCATCAATGACCAAGTTCAGCTCTCTAGCCAGTCTTTCATCGATAAAGCTATCTGTGCTTCTGCTATCTACTAAAATAGATATCTTTCTCGCTTTGAAAGTTTCAGGAATTCTGATAGTTTTATGCCTTCGATTCCCAGCCAAAGCACTGATAGATATCCCCATAACTTACTCTTCATCTGATTTAGATCCTCTTTCCTCTTTTAATTCACCCTCCTTCTCTTCATCCACCAATATGAAATTCAATGCTCTATTCTTACACACATGTCCTATAGTGTACTTCTCATCACATGTGTAACACAGCCCCAGGTTTCTCTTGGTTTGAAAATCAGTAGATGTGATAGTTTTATAACTATTTGGTGGTTTATTGGTTCTTGGCCATGGGTCATTGGGTTTGATTTCTTCAGGTGGTTTTGGGGGGGTAAGGGTTCCACTTGTTAGGTGTGAAACTCTTTGATTTTTGGTATTTGTTGATGGCTTGGATGTTTGATTCCTGTAGGCTAGCTACTTCAAATGCTTTAGCCAGGGTGTTTGGTTTCATCATCTTCACCATAGAATTAATCTTCCATCTTAATCCACTAGTAAACACAGCAATATAATAAGATTCATGAACATGTGGTAGAGCTTAGGGATGGCAATTCAAACTGTTAAAATCGAAAATCACGGTTAACCGAACCGAATGGGGCGAAAAAAACAGAACCGATGGTGCAATGAGGTGGTTATGGTTATAATTTTAATGACCTGGTTAGGGGTGTGGCGAGTATTGTATTTAGCAACAGTGCCCCGCCCTGAACCGATTACCCGTTAAAAAAAAATTAAGGGCCTGTTTGGTATAGATTTTCATTTTCTACAGTAAATCAATTCTCATTTTCAACCACACATTTTTCAATAAAATAATATTTTCCATCACATCAATACTTTTTTCTTCTTTTTCAACCACACATTTCCCATCATATCACTATTCAAAAATCAATTCTTCCCCCAAAAATCTCTACCAAACACACTCTAATTGGGCTTTCCCAAAATTCTGGTCCAATTAACATTACTAGTAAACCCTTAACTCAGTAACCTAACTCTAACCCTACACGTTAATATTGAAAATTGAAAACCAAACTTATAAAACACTCGTCCACTCAACCAGTGAACCAAATCAGATACGCAGCGCTCTACTGCCTGTACCTCAGTTTCAAATTGTAGTAATCAGCAACGAAGTCTACTATATTGTGAGCACACTCCCTGAGTTGTTCTGCGTCTAATGGCTTCAAACCATCTTCCTTGTACAATTCAACAAAACCCAGACACATTATACTTGATTACATTTTCTTTATAATATTATTTAAATAGATGATGCGTGGCCCAGAAAATGTGATTTTTAGTCTGTTTTGCTTGGTAGTCTATGCGTTTTTCAGTTTCTCTATGTTCATAAGAAATAGAGAGTCGAATTATTAATTTGGTTACAAAATTAATGTGGCTTTTTACTGATGTTATTAATGAAATTCCAGAATTCAACATATATTTTGGATTATATTGTTTGCGAAAGCTTGGTAATTTACCAATCCAGTGGGAAGAATTATTATTTTTTATTTCTGCTTTCGTTTTTTATATATCTGTCAAGCAATTTTTATTTTTATAGTTATTGTCATTTGCATTTCTCTATTTTGCATTGGAAATTTATATTTTGTTTGCTAAATTGGCCTAGTATTGTGTTTTTGTTTTTATTAACTTTTCTTCATAATTTTTTTTTCAATTTGACGGTTGGAGTTTGGACTTATAAAAAATAATTTATTTTCGTGGTTATTAACCGAACCCAATCGGATACGAACCGAGCCGATTTACGTGGTTATGGTATGATCAAAAATTTGGTGGTGCGGTTATGGTTTTGACCGAACCTACCCCAAACCGAATGGTTGTCATCCCTAGTAGAGCTAACATCACATGTGATTTGAGTTCTTAGAAATTCTCCTGGTATTCATCTATGGAACATAGTTGTTTGATCTTGCTAAAGATCTCCACTACTTCTTCCCAGTGGTTTCTGCAAACCTCTTGCATAGCTCCTCAGAAAATAGACTCCAACTAGCTCCCGGGTGACTGGCTATGAATCCATCAAACCAAATGTCGTCCTTCCATTTCAAGTAGATTTCTGCCACTCCTAACCTAAGTTCATCCAGAACTTGGTGTAGTTGAAAATATTTCCTGGCCTTTCTCAACCCTTCCGTATGACCTTCTCTCCCAAAATGAGGGAAATCTATCTTAGGTAGCCTAATGTTCCCCTTCACTTCGCATATGGCGATAACACTAGCCTCAATACTACTAGCTCATGGCGTAGAAGTCACACTTCCAGGTTCCTTTCAACTATAGATTCTGCTATTCCCTTGTTCTTCTGATTAGTTTTCAAATCAGTAGAGATTTGAACCATAAATGTAACCACCTTCTCATACTTTTGGTTCAATTCTAGCACATCATCTTCTATTTTCTCCTGCCTAGTACCCAGTACTTAACGAGTTTGGTTTAGGGGTGTCCAAAAGTCCCGAACCGAACCGGATCGAACCGAATCGAGCGGTTCTTCATAAATTAAATACCCGAACGGGTACCCGAATCGAGAACCGATGAGTTTGGGTCGGGTCTTGGGTCTAGATCAAGAACCGAATAAGAATCGAAACAAAATAATTTTTTTATTATATTGAATTAATTAAATTATTTTATTTTTTTTATACAAATTAGCAAATTAATTAAATAAATCATATTATTTCATATTTTTAATTTTAAAACCCAAATCATTTTTAAAATACATTAGCCCATTTTAATTTGAAACAAATGAATATACTTTATGTAGTTTTGCTGTAAATGCATTGAATTAATCTTATTGGACGGCTAGTTATTTATATGTTTTTGAATTGAGTTACGTTAATTTGTAAAAATTACGAATGAAATGTCATTAGTTGTATTTATGTAGTGTTGCTGTAAATATTAAAAAAAAATTGATTATGGTAAGGAACCGAACCGACCTGAACCGAACCGAACGGAATCGAAACCTGAACGGTTCCATAATTATATTTGGACCCGATGGGTCCATTTTTTAAATACCCGAAAGTTTTGGGTCGGTTCGGGTCTCTTCAGAACTGAACCGGTCTCTTCAGAACCGAACCGAACCGACCCACGGACAGCTCTAGTTTGATTTGTAGATTCAAGTTCATTTTCCAGTCTGCTAGTAACAACTTTAAAACTTGTACCCAAGTCTGCCACTTCGAGATCTAATTTCTTCAAATGTTCATCAACTACTTTAGACCTTGTATCCATTTCTAATAATTGCCCAATAATATACGCCTGCTCTAATACCAATTTGTCACGGCTGCACTACAACTCGCAAACACAATTTCTAACAAATCAACACTGGAATTTACTCCAGCTGAAATAAGGAATTTATGATACTAAATTCAAAGTAAAAGAGAATGGGCGAGGGATTAAATGACGTAAAATAAGAACGAGAAGGAGATGATTGAATTGAATCACTTCAATTAACAACCAATTAGGCAGAAAAATCACCGACTCCTTTCTTCCTTTACACATGGAGGTAGATATAATCTAGTTGAAGTCGTGTTTGGACAAAAATTAAATTGAAAAAAATATTTCTAGCTATTACAATTTATTAATTCAGAATGACACTGTTTCGCTCAAGTTGCAACCACACCGTTTTGAATTCCAAAGTTAGGTAATTCTGTTGCCTTCTTCTTCCTCTTTTCTTTCTGGTTTTGCTGGTTCCCCTCCTTCTTTCCCCCATTTTCTTCTCACATAGCAGTCGTTTTGTGTGGAATAGCTCGACTACAAGTGGTGGGTATGGTGGCGCCGCATGTTGCCATTGGTGGATTATTAGGGTTGCTATGTGTATGGTGGATATGGTGGGAGTGTGGGTAATGATGATTTACTAGATTATTAGGGTTTGAGATATAATTATTAGACTATTTAGGTTTTAAATTAAAAATAATTATAACCTAATCTTTGAGAAAAATAGTTATAATTTGATTTTTGAAATTAAAAATTGAAAATATTATAATTGTTCATCTTTTATTGGTGAGTAAATGAGAGAGATATGGTGAATTGCAAATAAAATAAAAACCTACTACTCACTAAAGAAAATGTTTTCTTCGACGAAATGATTACTTGATCAACTTTCGAAAAATGTTTTTCATGAAAAAGTGTTAATTAAGAACTTAGAGCCTGTTTGTCTAACATTATTGGTAGAAAAATGGAGTAAGAAATAGTATTTTTTGGAGAATGTGTGGTTGAAATTTAAAGTAACTTTATTGGTTTGTGTATAAAATATTTTATTGAGTGAATATGTGATTGAGATTGTTTACTGTAGAAAAAAGTAACTTTATTGATTTGTGTGTGGAATATCTTATTGAGTGAATATGTGGTTGAAATTGTTTACTGCAGAAAATAATGTTTGTAAAAATGGTAGACAAACAGGGCTTAAGTGAAAAATGATATTTTTAATGAAAAATAAAGTCAATTAATACCAAAGTGCCATAAGAGTTAAAATGGTTCGAGATCGAATCACGTTCCCCATTTTTGGTCACCGATCCTGTTCCGATTATGGGTTGGGTCAGGACAGGTTTGTTGGGCCCCGGGCCTTCCCGTACATTTTCAATTTCAAATATTTCCGCAATTTTCGACACCAACAACAAACCTTCTCCGTTACAATTATACAATTTATAGATCATTCTCTCTCTCAAAATTCAAAACCTCAATCCAAAACCCTAATTCAATATATGCAGAGGTCAAAGATTTTGAATAATTCAGTAATCCTTTGGTAAAAATGGCGACTTCAGCTTTCAAATCAACGTCGAAGAGAACTACAATTGGCGGGTCTAGCTCTGAAGATTCAACCAGCACTAGCCGGTCTTACCGCCGGTCCAGGAGTCTCAGCCGATTTTCACGACCGGAGGTGGTTTCTGAGCCGAAGGGGAAGTTTGTGAATACGGTCAGAGGATCGGGGGACTGTACGGAGATCAGCCTTGATGATCTCGCGCTTGAGTTCTTCTCGTCAAGGAACGAGAGTGAGAGCGATGTAGGCGCGGGGAAGAGGGAGGGCCATTCGGTTTCGCGGCCTGGGGGAGGTAGCTCGGAGATTGGGCGGTGGGCTAGTGATACTGCGTCGTCTAGGAGAAGGGGGAGGTCAGTGTCAAGAAATGGCGGAGTTGACAGTAAAAGTTATGTTGTTTCTAATGGCTCTGGTAGTGGGAGTAAAAATTTCACTCCGGCTGAGTCCGTTTCACGGCGGAGGAGGTCCCTCTCTGTGGCTCGGTATCATATTAGCGACTCTGAGGTAACTTTGATTGATTTATGTAGTTCTTTCTTAGTGATATTTGTATTTGTAGCAGATAACAACCCATATTGCTGCTTGAATTGATTGGACTCTGTATTGATAATTAAGACAAAATGTTAGTGGATGCGAGAAATAACTCACAGAATGTTAATTGAAGACCTGATACACGTTTGATTGAACTTGAAATGTTCCAGAAAGTAATTGATGGCATTCCAAATGTGTGAATTATGTGCAATTAATTTTGATCATTTGGATTTACACTAATAGGCAGCAAGTAATTGTCTTGATTGAATATGCACTGTATTTTATTCCTATCATGCATAATCATGGTGTTAATCGAATATTGAGTTATATTTTTATAGACATACCAATATCTTGGTGAAATTTGTCTTTATATGTTGATCATATGTGAAGTTGACAAGGACATGACTAGTCATTCACCTATATGTTTTTGTTATCTTCTTTGAAGTGGAAGATTGTTTCAGATTGAATTCTGAAACAATGTTCTTATTATCTATTATAACAAGTTGCTACAAGAGTATGACATGCTTTCGGGTTTGTGCGTGCATATGAGTGATTTATTATTTTCATGAATACGAGCTTGCAATCCGCTTGATCTGGGAACGTATATAACATGGTGGCTACTAGCTAACAGCTGGCTTCTCGCTCCACCTCAATGGAAGTCCAAACATGATGCATGTCTCAATCAAGTGTGGCCATGTTAATCAAGATTAACACAGTTGCACTGGAAATTCCCTCAAGCTTGAGATGAAATAGGAACTCATCACACCTGCATAATATTTGGTCTAGGGGAAAATTTAATATTGATCAGTCATCAGTAAAGGAAATTTTATCAATTTTTATGCGTAGACAGTTTGATCTCCATGTTTGGGCTATGTGGGAGGTAAAAAGTTCAAAATAATTTTTTATCCTTTTTAAATTTGAGATTTCTCACTTTTGCCTTTGAGAATATCACAATTATCAGGTGGATACATATGCATATGAATGTAGGATTTTCAAGATTTCAAATTTTTTATGATTGTAACTCAAAACAACTTCACATTCTTAAATATATTCTACAAGCTTAGAAAGCATAAAGTTATTAAACTATGTGTAAGACAGATTCTTCAAGATTTGGTGTACTACGAAACTATATATGCATTTTCTTTACTTCAACAGGGTAGCATAAATTGCCATTTACATTTCATTTGCAGAGTGAGGTAGATAATTCTCGGAATCCAATCAATCGTTCTATTTTAAAGGGTCCCATCAGAGGGAGGAGTCAAATGCCTTTATCACGGAAGGCAGCATCTTTAAGCAATCAGCATCCGGGAATATCGCTTAATCAAAATGATCAGTCGCTGTTACACGATGGCTACTCTGTAAGATTGTTTCGTCTTTAATACGGTGGCCTTTGGCTTCTTTCTTTGCATATATGCTTATATTGGTAACATTCACCGAAGGTACACTTGGAACTATAACCAAAAGCTGGCCTTCAAGATCATGTCATCCCCAAATAGAGCTTTGATTGATTTCTTTCCAAAATGGAACTGAAGTGTAATATTTGTCTATTGACTTCGCAGAGCCACTCCTCTGCCCAAACTGATGATGAATCGAATATTGTTCGTATTGGTAAAAATGGATTTGAGAAGATAATCCGGGCAGTTTATGCGGAGAAGAAGGTTGATTATTTTATACTTCTATTTATTAAGCAGGCTGTACATGAAAGTCTTAACTCCGTTTTCTTTTTCAACTCTCTCTATATTTATTTCTTCACCTCAGGCTGAGATCCATACAGAGGATGCTGTTAACAGTGGCTTTTATGAAGCAATGCGAAAAGAACTTGAATATGCTGTTGAAGAAATACGAACTGAACTAAATCAAGTATGTCAATATCTCTATTTGTTGATACAAAGTTTAATTCTATGTTTTGCTGGTACCTGCCACCGTATAATGTTAGTAAAATCTCTTTGTTAAAATTTCTTGTTATGTTATGCATAGGCCGTGGGGAGAAATCAAGCAGCATTATCTAGTGGTAAGTGTTTGCAGGTGGAAAAACCCAAAAATCTTCAAGATTTTTCTGCAATCAGAAAGAATTATACTGCAAAGTTAGGTCAGGTATCTAAAAATAGACTACTGCATTTTCTTGCAAGAGCATACCTTCTGGTCAGGTTCTTATTTTGATGAATGGTTTTTCTTCGCCTACTGGTGATGTTGGTGTATAGGCAACAGAAGGAGCATATCGTAGTTCTATACTTCTATTAATCAATTTGATTTTTGTAGATATAAGTTGATTAAGTTCTATTGGCCATTGTTAATGAATGAAGCACTTGAGTGCAGAACTGTCCTCGATCCCTTAATATTTGTTGCGTGTTGCACGGTCTATTTCTTAAGCTTATTTCATTGCACTGCAGGCCTTTAGAAGGGTGGCAGTTTGCATATTAGTGTTTAACCTCAGTTTGAAATATGGTCAATCTTCTTATTCTTTATTCTAGGATGTTTCTTTACAATCATGAGCAATATTCTGCTATCTTCTAGCATTATAAGTTCATATGGGTATCAATTTAGAGATGCATCTGTGCACTATATTTTAGTTAGTTCTTAAGAGATAAAGCAAAAAGAGTGATGTGCGCAACTTGTCTAAATGACAATTGGCAATGCTGGTTGAAAATACTTGCGTTTAAAGTCTCAAGGAACCAAATTCCTCAGTTCATTAAGCTATATCTGAAAACAATTTTAACTTCTGAGCTCTCATATAGTTCTAAATGATAAAGATTATAACCCAAAATGTTTTTTTCTTTTATACTTATTTTTTTTATAATTGAACACCTCGTTTGATAGATTTTTGGGAACTTGGGAATTCCTGTAAACGTTCCTGCGAGATGCTTTAACCTTGTATAAAAAATCTCAATTGTTGACTAAATTCTCTGCCAACTTACAGTCAGAGAAGCGCAAGCAAGATCTTCTTGCTGAAATATTGCTAGAGGAGCAACGAGGCCAGGAGCTCTCCAAAATTGTCAGAGATTTACTTCCGGATTCAAAGACTTCATATGTTTCTCAGAAGCCATTCCGGGCTAGAAAGGTGCGTCTGTCTCTTACCCTTGCTCAAATAGTTTTGAGTAATATTTTGTATGGTAGATAACTGATTGGCTTTGATCCTAGTGATCATTGTTATATCGATGTTGTAGTGTTGTTGAAATATCATCTCTACTTTTGCCTTTTCCATATTCCAGAGAAGTAGTGAGAAATGTTGGGCATCAAGGCAATTGAGTGAGGAGGCAGGAAAATATTTCGAGGACTTCATTTCAAATGTTGAAGATACAGACATTTCTTCATTTGATGGAGAAAGAAGTGATGGAAGTTCGACCCTGGGGGCCACCCGAAAGGCAAGAGATTCTTCAATAAGAGGAGAAGCAGAAAGCTATCAAAGTCCAGCAGGATCCATAAATTGTCCAGTTGAAATGGAGGGTGTTCTTTTACCTTGGTTGACGTGGGAGACTGGTCCCGATGGTTCTGTTTCAGGCAAGAATAAAGCACAGACTCCAGACACTCCAAAAGCACTACAGTGGGACTCAGAAAAGGTAACTTTTAACTTGCATGCATTTGCAGATATGATCGTGTAGCATGCCTACAGCATGTTTGGCTAAGGTTAAAAGGTTGACTAAGTAATAAGTAAGCTTTTCATTTAAATAATGTTTTTAGTTCTGAAAGTTGGAAATAAGTTACTGATTTTAATAGTTAGATAATGGCCATTTTCAAAATTAGTAACTTTTTTTAACTATGCTACTAGAAGATGAGCTAAAAGCTAAGAAAAAAAGGAAGTTATTTAAGCATGTTTGGAAGCAAAAGTAAATTATTCCCTGTTTGGTAGAGATTCTTTATAACTATTTTTTTTTCCAAACTCATTTTCAAATGTACATTCTCCTAATGAAATAGTTTTGAACTTGATTCATAATTTTTTCCTTACTCTTTAATCATACATTCTCCGAAAACTTCACTTTTCACAAGATGTATTCTCAAAAATCTACATAAAATAGACTCTTAACCAAACAACCTATTATTTCGTCCAAAACATTTTTATCTCTTTATGTAGAAACCATTCTTTCTTAATATAAATGTGGGGCAACTTGAATTGCCCAACTTTGATAGCATTAGTTGCACATTATGAGTTAATAAATGTGGGCCAACTTGAATTGCCCAACTTTGTTAGCATTAGTTGCACATTATGAGTTATATAAATGTGCGCAAGCCCAACTTTGTTTATCATTTTGAACAAGCGTGTTCATTTTGGGAAGGCGGACTGTATTGTGCTCGACATTAAAAGAAAAAGAAGCTATCATATTGAGCATGTTTGGCAGAAAAAAATAGATTTTGGACCCACAAATTGTGTGTAATAAAAACCACATTGCAACTTACAAGTCAAATAGTTAGGGAATTACTAACTTACTTGACTTATAAGTTGCGGGACTCAAATTGTGGTGACCAATTTGTGTGGATTTTGGTCCCATAGTTGTGTGGATTTTGTCCACGTGATATGTGGGTCGCCCAACTTATAAGATGTTATTTTTTTACCAAACATGCGTGCGTTGTACTATTAAAGTTTTGTTCAATATTGTGTATCTAACATGCTTTTAGCCCATGTTTGATCTCCATTCTTTAAAAACTCGGGGGTTATTCTCTTTGTATTTCAGTTTTGTGTTTTGAATTTTGAATTCATTTTGGGTTTTTTGTTTTGAGTGTCCATTTTGAGATTATTGAAAATGTATTTTTTTTGACAGTTTGAAAAATTGTTTTCAAAAATTGGAAAACTTGTTCTTTCTTCCCCTCCCTCTCGTCTCTCTCTCTGCGTCTCTCTTCTTCTACTCCTTTCTGTCGACAAGCAGCAAAGATGGCTGCGATCGGTGTGTGGTGTGCGACGGTGGTTGGTTGTGGATGTGGCGGTGGAGTGTGGTGGTTTTAAGTGCGTGGTGTGGTGTTTGGATGCGTGGCTGTGGCGTGCGTGCTGTGGTGTAGCAGTGGTTGGGGCCGTGGTGTGGTGGTGGTTTCGTGGCAATTTTTGTGGTGGTGAATCTGGCAGTTGGGTGGTGGTGGTTGGGGTGATGTTGTAGCGGCAGTGGTGGTGTAGTGCAGGCGGCGTTGGTGGTGGTTGGGGGTGACGTTAAACTGAAAACACTCAAAACGCGTTTTAAAAATTTTGGCTTGATTATAACTGAAAACACCTAAAACAAATTTGTCGTTTTGAATTTTCTTTGTAAATTTTTAACTTGTTTTCAAAAATGAGTTTTCACTATTTTGAAAAATCGAAAACAGAAAACGATTTAAAAAGATAAAAAAACATGTCCTTATTCTTTCTTCAAACTCATTTTCAACCATATATTCGCCTAATAAAATGATTTTAGATGTATACACAAAAATTTTTTCTTACTTTTTAATCACATATTCTCCAAAAAAATCACTACTATTAAGTTTATTCCAAAAAATGGACTCTTAACAAACCTTTAATGTTCTATAATCTGCTAGGTCCTTGCCAATGCATGGAGTTTCTTTTGTTTAAATTGTACCATTAATGTCTGTGTTGATATCTTCGTCATTATTATCAATTTGCATGAATTTCAAATTTATGCAGGACGGGATCTCAATAAATGACCCAAGCAATCATTCTACCAGCAGTCACGGGAGTTGGAGTCCTGGATTCTTAAATGGTCCTCCTTTACATACAAGAGAAGAGAATAAAGGCAAAACCAGGCAATTTGTCGACAAACAAGTGTCCCATTTTAACACGGACGAATACGTTGAACTTGGGAAGAGCGAGGAACTCTTGTTCGAAATGTATAAGGAACGAAACCGAATTAGTTTGGGTGGGCTTTTGCTTTGTAACAATGTATTTTAGTTGTTTTCTTGGTAAATTCATGTTCTTATGTTGAACGGTTTCAAATTTATAAAGCTTCATTTTTTTAGATGGTGAGATTTATCTTCAGTATAGAATACTGAACACGTCTAGAACAATAATGAACGAAAAGTTGGTTTGTTTTTCTTCTTAAATTGTGTCTTGTACTATTACATTATTCCTATCGAACACGTCGAGTTAATTGTTTCAATGGTCACTGAACTTATGCATATGTTTTCGATTGCTCATTGAAGTGATGTAATTGACGGAATGTACATATAGCATCTCGTCATGCCGTTAAACTTTGAGATAGTCGAATTTTGGCTACTAAACTTTGAAAAATGTCTTTTATTACTCATTGAATTTTGAGGTGGTCAAACTTTGGCCACTGAACTTTGAGATGTCGAACTTTGGTCGTTAAACGTTAAAAAACATCTTCTATTGTTCACTATAAATTTGGATTTAATTAAGCATCTGTTTATCTTCATTTAAAATAAAACTCTTTAATTCACATATTCATTTTTAACCATATATTTATACAAAATATTTTACATGTAAACTCAAAAAAATTTCAATTTTTTAACCACACATTCTTCAAAAAAATCATTATTTAAAATCCCTTTTTAAAAAAAAATAATAATGCCCCTCAAATAGGGGCTAAAATTCGTTTTTAAATTTCAAATTTAATTTAATTTTAACAATAAATGTATTGTGTGTTTCATTGCAATTAGTATTCACTTCCTTTGCATAGCTTTGCAAGCATTGTCTAGTAGTTAAATTTAAATTTAATTTATTTTTGTAGAATTTTAAGCCATTTTCATCATAATGTTTGAATTTTACATCAAAACACACAGTGAATTTGCTGTTAAATAAAATTAAATCCAAATTTTAACAACAAATTTCAATTAAATCGAAATTTATTGTGAATCGTACAAGACGTTTTTCAACGTTTTGTGGCAAAATTCGACCATCTCAAAGTTTAGTGACTAAAATTTAATTACCTCAAAGTCTAGTAGTTAAAATTCGACTACCTCAAAGTTCAATGAGTTAATGAAGACTTTTTTAAAGTTTAGTGAGCAATTGAAAACGTTTCCCAAAATTTAGTAGCCAAAATTCGATCACCTAAAGTTTTACAGTGAGATAGGGTGCCAAATGTGCATTCCGTCAATCACGTCACCAATCTCATTAGATATTTGAAACGGAAGTTAGTCAATGAGTAACGTCCAACGTTTTTCAAAATTTAGTGGCAAAAATTCGACTTCTAAAACTTCTGTTAGGGATCGAAAATATAGACATAAGTTCAGTGTGACCATTGAAACAATTAACTCCAAGCACGTCACTAGTGACTCGACCTGACTTGATGGTGTAAATTGTTTAATTGTATTTTGACAAAGTATAATGACATTGTATTTTTCACTACAAATTCATTGCCTAACAATAACTTTTTGTTCTATTAACATGTTTGTATGATGCTAACAAAGTGTTCTCCACCTAATAAAATCGGCTTATTAGGGGAGGATTGCCCTCACCTTATTAAGTGGATCATTTATATTTTCCCAAGTAATGTGGGATTTTAATACGCCCCCTCACGCACAGCGTGGACCATATCGAACAACTGTGAACAAATCGATATTGGGTGGTACCCAACATTGCATAATTGAGCCTAACTTTGATACCATGTTAGGAATATTGAGCCCAACTCCACCTAATAAAACCGGCTAGTTATGAGAGAATTGCTC